TCTATACCCAAAACGGCAAATTTTACGAAAAGATGGCTTATGGCCTTATTAAAAGATTTTGGGAAAATAAAATGTCCAGTCCTTCTGTATTTGCCAGAAAACGAGGAAAGTTTTTCGTCATGCAAGTCAAATTTTGTGCTACAGCTAGAAACTGGAAATGACGTAAAAGAAGATCCAGGTCGCAAGACTTCAGAACGTGGCTTCTATGTTTCCGGTCTGTTTTGAACAGTCAACAAAGGATTTTATGGTTGATATTTCGTGAAGATGTTCTAACACTCGCAAAAACGAAGTAAGTCTCTATAAGTGGCCTGGAGATCGCCGATGTGCCAGACTTTGGACGAACGCCTTGAAAATCACTCGATCCGAACCCACTGAGCCTGCGACAACTGGACTTTGTAGCGCTCATTTCACTAAAGACTGCCGTGGAGCACAAACAGCGATAACTCAGTTTTTAGGCTTAAAGATGAAACCAATGATAAAAGCTGATGCTGTTCCAACAGTTTTTAAACGTAAGCCACCAGAAACTAAAAAACTGATACTCAAGATAAAGGCATGGCAAATCACCATAATAACATTACCGTAAAATTCCGGAAATAAGCCCCAGGGCTTATATTTTTCAAAGGCCCTTTTTGAGGGGCATATTTTTGGAGGGGCTTTTATTCGGAGGGCCTTATATACGGAGGGAAATTTGCGTTTCAAAATCGGTTAGGCTTATACTTGGAGGGAAATTTGCGTCTCAAAATCGATTGGGCTATAGCCTGCAGTGCAGGCGCATTTTGAGCAGGCGAAACCTCTTTTCGAGAGTTTCAATATGGCGTTTTTGTAGCTACAGCAATTAGCCGCACGTTTAATTAACTTACTTTTTATCCGAAATCTTTGTTTTCTGCACGCGCACGCTAACGCAATTTGTAGATTCAACTAGAAAGTTCTTTCCAACGCAAGCTAGGACGTACGCGAAAGCGCCACGCAATTTTGTCGTTAAAAGGTTAAGTTTTCTGTTTTTGCGGTTAGTTGACGCAAGTTCCTTGTCAATCCATTTCAAGAAGCCAAGAAGTTTTCCTTGTTCTAGTGATTTTAAGGACATCACCAAGGTAAATATTTACGCTACATTTTCTTATTTAAGTAAGCGCCTTGTTATTTTATCCTTGAAACCGATTTTATCGCTGATTGCATTATAAAATCAAGATTTTAGATTTTAGACGAAGTTAAGTTTACACACGACATCATTTACCGTTATTCGTCAATCTTAAGTTTTTAGCTTTCCGTCTTGTTAGTTTTAACGGATGAAATGTATGTATTTCCGTAATTTCACAAGCTTATTTGTAAAATACTTTTACCTTTATTTAGTTCTCACGGTGTTTATGGAAGTAAGGTTAAGAAAAGAAATAAACATCAGTACGTGAACGAGTGTCATCTCATATCTTATCACTGGAGCAATAGTTTTCGCGAGCAAAAACATTCGCGTGCCCGATGAAAACGCCTGCACTGCAGGCTAATTGGGCTAGGTTATAGATGGAAGAAAATTTATGTAAGCACTCTGCAATTTGCAGAAAGGTTTTACCGAAACTCGCCTTGAGGACGTAGACCGTTTTAAAACACAGCCATGCAAGTACTTTCTCTATATGGACCGAGGAAATCCAAGCCAAGAGTGAAGAGTGAACTACGCAAACAGCAATGAACTGTGACACTTTCTGACTGCAATCACTTGGCACACGTCATAGTCCTTTGGCAAATACCGAAACATATACTTTACTGTACCGTTATTGCCTTGTTTTACTTTGTATTTGAGGGCAATTTCCAAGTACAAGCCCCTGGGGGCTTATATTCGGAGAGGCGATTTAACGGAGGCTTTTTTTGCGTTACGAGTTTGGGGAGCTTATATTTGGAGGGGCTTATGAATGGACAGGCTTATTTTCGGAATTTGACGGTATATTAGTTGCTCATGCCTTATATGGCGAATACATGTTAAAATTCTGTAAAGTCTCTATTCTCAATACTCGTCTGCAAAGCGAAATCCCTCGAACACAAAGTCATCTCCATTGCCTGAGGGAGCAAGCAGCGAAAGATGGCAGGACAACACGAACTTTCGGTCTAAAATGCCCGAGCACCACCTCGCCAGCTGCTTTTTACTTAAGCTATGTGACAGTTTGTTTCTGTGCTGGGCCCTCGAAGGAGTCGCGGTACTGCTGTGTGCATCGATACCAGGCCGTCTGAAGAGCCCAGCGATTCAAGCAAACGGCTTGCAATCCCGGATGTTGTGTTATGCAAACAGGCGGATTAGCTAATTCTGCTTCAACCGCTTCGTTGTTTTTAGCGACCAAGGTCTGAGCAGCAGACACACTCTTGAAATCGATTTAGGCGTTGAAAAAAATCCACATTTACCCCTAAAATTGTGACCTGGCTTTAAGCTTATATAATTCATTCAAGCATACGTTCATAATATGAAATCACTGAATTTCCCAGGAAAATTGCCTTGTATGCATACACGGCTTACATACTTATTTCAAAGCTTTAGATCGAAATAATGCTCAAAGAAAACATTGCCACTCCATCAGAAGAGAAATTTATAGCGAGAATTATTTTATTTTATCGAAAGTGTAAGATTACCCGCGATCAGTAATGAACAGAATTTGCGATTCAGTATATTTGCCTTAATACCGATCTGTATTTTGCAATCACTCGTTGTTGCTCCATGTCGGACTCGCTTGTCGAGTCAGAATTCGAGTTTAAACATAGAATTAAAGTAAAAAAGACCTGCAACAAGGAGGTTTTAATGAACGGTTTTTAATGACGCCCTATACTTAAGCCCTCCGGTAGTTACATCCAAACCGCAGTTTCAGAACACTATCTCAGCAATAGCCACTCTGTTTCTCATGTGTTACTAATCCCAATTGAAACACATAGATTTGAACGAGATTGTCTTAGGGAAGCACGTGAGGCGCACCTCATTTATAAAGCCAGAACCATCGAGCCTTTGGGAATGAACAAACGTGACGAACTATAATCATCATGTAATCTTTGCCTTTTTTCGGTTTATTTTTCTTAGCAGCCACACCGTACCACGTCATACCATGTAACTTTCGTTTTATTATTTTACAGTAGTATAGATTCTGTATATTCGTGGTTTTCCCTAATAAACCTGATGAAGACTGGTTTTGGCCAGTGGAAATATTGTACAGGGTGTATCAAAAGTTCGTTCCTATTTTTTATTCGCTTAAATTTCACTAATTATTGAAGAAAACCTTTTGTAAAACTTAGTATGTTATTCATTATTCATTCAACATTGAATAACTAAAATATTAGTAACCTGAATATCTTCTTGCATGTTTTCTGACATTTTCTAAGCGGTGAGGTATAGAATGTACGAGATCCCAAAGCGTGTCCAAAGTCACATTCTTCCAGGCGAAGCGTAGTCACTGTCTTAGCTCGTCCAGTGTTTTGGGGGCAGGAGCTTTGTATGTTGTCTCGTCTACGATAATCCAGATGGTCTCTAGGGGGTTCACATCAAGTGAGTTTGTCAGCCGGTCCTCCTTTGGTATAAAGTTTGCAAATCCTTCTGACACCATGCCTGCATGAAGTGTGAACCGCCTTTTTCTCTTCAAGGCTTTCCAACTTTTTTGGTAACTTATCCCCATACCGTTGTGCTTGAAACTTTGATCGATAAAGTAAAGTTATTTTTTTTTACCTTTCTGTTTTGTGGAATTATTTGGCATGTACTTACAGCTTTTTCGATAACATTTCTCACACAGTTTGTGAGAAAACGGCCATCCACTCCTTGGTTTGTCCTCTAAGGTCTTTACTTTTGACCACTTGTTCGGTCATCGTTCAGACTTCTTCAATAATTTGGCATTTTTTTGGACTGAATGGCCAGAAGACCATAAAACTAGATGCCTGAGCTCTAGCACAAACAGTGTAGGCCTTCATTTTCATGAAGGAGTAGAGAAAATGAAACAAACCTTCAAAATGAGCAGGAAAAGTATGGCGGGAAAAACCTCGTGTACGTGTACAGTTACGGCAAAAATTAAAATATATATATATATAATTTCTTCAAATTTTAGTTTGAAATTGCTTTGAACGGTTATTTAGATAAATTTCTTACCTGAATCAGTTTAGATTTGCCTAAGGAAGCATTAAATGCCTTGAGCAAAATACAATTTACAATCGGAACGAACTTTGGAAACCCCTGTATGCCCGGCCTTTTTCACGTTGTTTGATCAGTCTCTCCAGTACTCTTTCTGACTTAATTCTATTTTTATTTTTTTCGACTGATCACTATCTTGTTTGATCCAACGTTGAGCTACATTGATCGCTCACGGTTGCAGTGGTTTTTCAAGCCTTAGTTTGCATCCAAGTTTAATAAACTTGCTGCCATACGGCTCAAACAAATAAGTCTGTGCTCCCTCACACTCTGATAACCTCGAATTGTCGTCCAAACTTTTGTTTGAAGGACGAGAAGAAAGAGAAAAACTATCCTTGGACTGTAGAATCTCGTCAGTCGAGTTTGGGACCATCTGCGCCCAAGTTTATGAGATTTTTTTGTGACAGAGTATTTGGGACCATCTGTACCCAGGATTTATAGATTTGCTCGGTTTCATAACAATCTGTTTATTGATTATAGCGACTTTTTGTGTCCTGGATTATACTTTTGAGTGTCGATCAATTCGTATGTTTTGTTTTAAACACTTCAGCTTCGTGATTTAGAGTTTATCTGTTTCCTTTACAAGGCTAATGACTATCTGTGCGCTAGATTGTCGTTTTGCGTTGCTTTTATGCTTCGTCTTACCTTTTATTTTCTGTCTTGTTGTCTTTAATTTTGTCTATTAGTTTCTTATTCTTTTTTCCTTTTTTTTTGTATATTTGATTCTTTATTGGTTGATCGATTAATATATTCATTTATTATTTTATTCTAGTCTGTTGTTTGTTAGGCGGGTGTTCTTTCGCTTTTTCCCTTTGCTCTCTGTTATATTTTCTGTATTTTCACAGATGTGTTAAAGTCTGAAATGTGGTCAATATGTTTCGCCTCAATACCAGAGGATCTTCAGACCACGGTTTCTTTGGTGAAAAGCACTCTTCTTACTTCCAAAGCGGATGGTACTGTTCGTTCCTACCTTGGAGGTATTAAGAAATGGAAGCGTTGGGCTTCCTCCAATCACGTCTGCCATTTTCCATCTAATCCGTTCCAGGTCGCAGTCTTCTTGCAGTATCTGCTTAATGAAGCGTAGTCTCCTTCTCCAGTTCTTAACGCGGTCTACGGTATTGACTGGGCGCTACAACTGGCTGGCTCATCAAAAATCTCCAGTCATCCCCTGGTTGTTTCAACGGTCAGCGCGTCTCAAAGGATTTTGGGCAGGCCAAAGGTCAAAACAGACACTATAACTCCTGAGATGTTGAAAGCGTTCGTGGAATCTAAGATAAAAGATAAGTCTCCTTCTCTTTCTGATCTTAGATCTGTTGCGTTATGCCTTATTTGTTACGTTGGATTTTTTTGCTTTAGCGAGTAATGTCATATAAAAGCCTGCGATGTTAAGTTTTTCCCATCTTATATGTCCATTTTCCTAGAATCTTCGAAGTGTAACCAGTTCCGAGGACAGACTTGCCAATTTGTCCAGTCAAGGCCTTAGAGGACTACATCTCGGAAGGTCAAATCAATCTCTCCGAGGATTTACCGCTGTTCAGAGCCCTTGTTTACTCCTCGGTCAAAAGAAAAAGTACGAAGCCAAGGGATTAGCTATACAAGAGCTAGGGAACTCATTAAGGACGCCTTTAGAGATATAACGGACGTTTCCAAGATTAGTGTTCATAGCCTTAGGGTTGGAGGAGCCACCTCTGCAGCTAATACGTACTGGTATCGCTGAAAGACTTTTCAAGTGACATGACCGTTGGGCGAGCAAGAACGCCAAGGATGGCTACGTTAAGGACGATTTTAATTCTCTCCTGTCAGTCACGAAGTCATTAGGAATCTGATTTATACTTTTTTATTATTTATTTATTTTTGCTTCATAAACCGTGCCCGGCAGGTCGGAAGGGTTCTATCCACAGGGCCGGGGTTTTTCCTCAGCCTTTTCCGCAGCGAGCGCGGTGAGGGTTTTTCATCCTGTGGATGCTCGTTGATTCCCTCCCAGGTTTACATTTCCTTTTTGTTTTGTTTTAGGGGTTTTCTTTGTTTGCACCTTTGCAGTTGCTGAATTAGCTTTCTCAGTAAACTCGTGCGCTCCAGTGAGCACGTGATGGCATATGGTGTGTCGTTGTTGTTGTCACGCACGGGTATGGTGCTCTGTAGGGAATTTAGACCAGAGTCCGTATTTGTATCGACACGTTTTTGAATTTTATTTCCTTTTTAAGGGGTTTAATTTTTCATTATAAGTGAAATTTATTCGATTTGATTGTCAGTCTTTGAAGTGGGCACGTTTTGGGATCATAGCTGACCTTGTTTGTTACCTACCTCAGAGTTTCTGTTTTGGTTTAAGGCAGAGTCTCGTGGCCTTATTTGTCAAGCTTTCATTGGTCGTCTTGTGCTTGACATTATTAACCTGGCTTATAGGTTTGTTTATTCCAGTTTGGTGATCAACAGGAAATTCGTTTAAGTTATTAGGAAGTGCGTTCGTAATTCTCATGGTCAGCAAGCCAGAACGTACCTACATTTAAGTTATTTAAGTTTCCAACATTTGGCGCACTTGGTTTTGCTGTAGTTATGAACAGTTTGGGAGTTTATAGTTATGTGCAGTTGAGTTGCTGTTAAGTGGAATAATCAAGCGAGTTGCTTGAACACCCCTACATATTTCGGTAGTGAACCCTCCTATTTTGCTGTGCATGGTTTTGTGAAAAACATGTCAGGAGTTTAAGATCCGCCCAGGAAATCTGTAATCTGTATTGCAAAAGAACAAGTTTTAGTCTGGTCATATGTAAAACAAAATCATAATGACCCAACCTTGTATTTAAGTAATGTATAGGGTTGTAGTTAAATTTCCATTATTTTATGGCGACGGGAGAGAAGATGTGCGCGAGTTTATTGATAATTATTGTCGCGCCGGTAAGTTAAATGGTTGGGATGTACAGAAGTTAGCCCTTGGTCTTCTTCTGTTTCTCAAAAAACGTGCCAGTTTTTGGTTTGACACTTAAAAAGAGGCCGAAAATGTGTCATTTGAAATGTTATCGCCAAAATTTATTTTTCATTTTGAATCGAATGTAAATCGATAGCAGTTAAGGCAAAAACTGGTTGAGCACCCTCAATTGTTAGGAGAAACTGCTGCGGATTATTATTTTGATATCGTCTCTCCGCTTTCCGCTAAATTTACCCAAAAAGTAAATGAGTGTATTGTTTTATACGAGGTCTAAGACCAGAAACTCGTGACCATGTTACATTGCTACTACCACCTTATTTTGAGTGTCCTTTGAATTTTGCAAAACTGAAAGAGTTGGTATCTCTTAGCCGCAAATCAAGTAGTGGTCAAGAAGATAAGACTTTTGCAGAATTACAGTCTAAGCCCTCAAAAGAGGATATCAAACAAATTTTGAGGTAAAATTTAATGTGTGGTCTAAAAGTTCCAAAAATAATGGAAGTCATCCTATTAGTAGGAAATTTTGATCGTGCAATTTTCGTGTCCGTTTGGGGGGGGAAGTATTTTATTGTAAAAAGTCAAAATTGGGCAGATTTAGAAACTTGAAACCCAACTTTAGACGTCTGTCTCGTTTAGTGATGTTGTGTCTAATCCATGTGAGCCTATTGTCTCGCCAATGTTGAAACCTCAAGCTTCCGTCACATGTCAACATGGGTGTTCTACAGATTGCCAGCCTCAAAACGTCTCTAGTGAACATATTTTTCTTGAAGTTGTTAAGTTTCTTTCTCAGCTCATAACAAAATTTTATTGTGTAATCGCTGGGTCATTGCCAAAGGAAGGCAAAAATGCTCATTCCCCAGATGCACCTATGTTTTCTCATAAAGGTCAAGTGAATTGCGAGAAGTCTTTAAATGAAAATGTATCTCAAGGAGTTAGTAAAACTGAAGAGACAAAAGGAAAAAAATTGACACCTGAGTTGAAAAATGAAAATTTGGAAGTGAATGACGTAGGGGATAAATTTATTGTTTCTAAATAGTGCCATGACTTATGTGACTCAAGTGGCCCTGAGGCAAGGTCCCATGTGACTGACATGTGTCTTCACCTGTCAGTTCCTGTAGACTCGATTCTATTCATCCTTTCGACGGTGACAATTTCAATATCTCTGTATTAATAGAATTTGTTAAATTTCATGCTATTATTGACACAGGAGCAGCTGTGACAGCAGTTGAAACTAAAGTTTGGAACAAGTATCTTAGTCATACAGATTGCTGTTTAGATTCTCCTTCAACAAGTTGTTTAACGTCTGTAAGTGGCTCTCTATTAGTCATTCTTGGTAAAGTGTACCTGAATTTTGTTATTAAGTCTGTTGTTCTTCCTTTTTAAGCCTGTTATCAAAGAATTAACTCATGATGTTTCTTCAGGCAGAGATTTCTTTCAGAAATATTGTTCCAGAATTGATTTTGTAGAGAACTTTGTTCCCTCCCCGAGGACCCTCTCCAATTTCCTGATGGTTTTGATGTTCATCAGAATAGTGAAGTTAATGTTAATTGTCTTTCTTCTGTGCATAGTGGTTACTCTTTTAGTATTCCGGCCAAATCTGAAGTAGTTGTTTTCGGTAAATTAACTTCAATGCCGAAAGGTATAAGCAGTAAAACTAGTGACATTCTTGGTTTGCTCATTGCTAAGTATGATTTACCTCACCGTTATTCAGTTTTTGGAGTGTCAGAGCTCGTAAAAGTTTCTAGTGATGCTACTATTTCTTTAAGAATGGTAACTTTTTAAAGTCTTTCGTAAGGCTAAACTGGTACATTTTCAGCAGATTGGAAATGACTTAGCAACACTTGAGATTGACAAGAACTCTCCTTCTTCAGCTACTCAGCATAGTTCCTCAGATGATCGGCCACAACCTAAAGATTATTCGGATTTTCCTCATTTGTCAGATAGTATTTTGAATGATGATGAAAAACTGAAATCCAAAAATATTTGGTAAATATCGCGATGTTTTTGTTTTTCTTGGGGATCAGTTGGGTAGAACTTCCCTTGTTCAGCATGTCATAGACCCTGGTGATGCTATGCCCATGAAACAAAGGTTGTATAGAGCATCTCCAGATGTTAATAAAAAAAAAATTGACCGTCAAGTGGACGAAATGTTTGAGAAAGGAATCATTCATGAGTCTGCCTCTCCCTAGAGCTCTCCAGTTGTTTTGGTCAAAAAGCAGGATGAATCATATAGATTTTGTCGTGATTTTCGTGATAGTAAAGTCACTATAGCAGATAGCTTTCCAATGCTTTTAGTTACTAATGCGCTGTATTCTTCAGGTGGCACATTTATATTTTCGACGTTCTACCTAAAAAGCGGGTTCTGGCAAATAGAGATGACACCAAACTCGCGTGAAAAGACTGCCTCTGCTACACATAAAGATGTTAATTCATTTTTAACCATGCATTTTGGATTTTTGTTTGGACTGAAGCGTGTGCTGAAGCGTGTGCTAGCCCCACTGGTATTGGTTTTACGTTGGCATAAGTTCAAACTCGAAAGGAAGCAGAGGAAATTAGAGGAATGAACTTTTGGGACACCCTGTACTCTGGTTATAGCCAGGGCGTTTGAGAAAGCTGTTAAGAACGCTTTTGTGGCGGAGGCTGTAGAGGAGAATCTAAGCACCACTCAATTTGCCTATCTTGAAAATGGAAATTCCACTAATGCACTATTATCGACCCAGCAATTCATCAACTAACACTTAGATAATCCAGACTGTGAGGCAGTAGGAGTTTTGGCAATAGATTTTAGCAAAGCGTTCGACTCATTCAGGCACGAGCTACTATCTAATAAACTGAAATTGCTGCCACTGAATGCCTATATCATCACCTGGTAT